CCGATAAATCAATATAATGTTTTAAGTTATAATTTAAATGTTTGTATATAACGTTTAAAAAAAAAAAAAACACCGACAATTGCAATGTAAAAAACAATTTAACGAACGAAAGACGAATACTTAATTTTAAAACGTTTAACGATGAATTCGAATGCGATAACAGGAATTTTTGAAAATATTTTCTCTACTAAAATTATTATTAGGTGCCTAATCGAAAATATCAAATACTCGATTACACGCGCACACACATACACACGCACAAGTTCTGCGGTGTAAACAAAGTAAATAGCTAATTGCCAAAAATATTTTTTATAATATTGTAGTAAAAAACCTCAAGAATCGATGAAAAGCCCTAAGTACGGATTTTTGATATAACACATTGTTTTACATTTACAATTGGATAGCCGTATAACCACTCTTAATGAACGATTCAATCAATTTTAATTTGTACTTTACGGGACTTTCTGTTGGAGAATGAAAAACTTCCTACGGACATTGATTTTTCACTATATGTAACCAAAAATCACTACAAACAGAAATTAAAACACCGTAATTAATCCCTAAACACAAAAATGGCACTTGTGCTATTTTTAAATATTTTAAATAAAGACAAAAAAAACTAACATTTTTTTCTACCGATTTTCTTTCAGAGATATTAAGTTTTTTTTGTCTTTGTCGGAAAATTTCAACATTTTGACACTTGCCCTTTTTCTGTATTTATCGATTCACATAGTATATTATGAAACGGTGACACGGATTCTGCAATATAATAAATAATAATATATCGCAACTTTATTATTATATTTACTTTTTTTTTAATTGAAGTTTTATTGACGTACTTGATATTTTTTTAAATTATGTAACATTGTTTCCTGTTAGATTTGATTAGTAATTTTTTTTTTCGTTTTTTTATAGAAAGACGCAACGTGTTCTACGCGCACTTCGCAATAATATTATACGAGAGATAAATGGACTGTCACATAATTTTTCTCTTTATACGTATTATAAATTTTATACGACGTGGAACGCTATAACAAACATATTATATATATTAAAAAAAATTGACTTTCGTTTAATTGTCAAATCATGACGATTGATAGCCACGCGCCGTCGACAAAATTCGTCCGAAGAACACTCGCGCAAAAACAAAACCTGCGCTAAAATTTTTTATTGCTATTGTTACACGTACGTATTTAAATACTCGTTTTTATTATTTATTTTTTTTCATTAGGAGTTTAGTACCTTCGTATACACGGAACGAGAATAAAATGATGGACATGTTTCGTATGTAGACGGGCCACTGTTGTAGGCGAACATTTGGGAATGTATAGTGGGGAAATTTAATGTACGCAACGGTTAACCATTGCTAATTAAAAACGATTCTGAGCGGAATTCGGATAATAGTGTTGCTTTATCAACAATATGTATGTCATATTATGTTAAATATTTACATACCCATTATATATATTTTCTTTAATAAATTTCGTTTAATATTGTACCTATTTTTACGTTTCCCGAAATTTTTTCCCAGTTTTCCCCAAATTTTTTCCCATTTGTCGGTAAAATCAAAAAACTACCTCCTTAAAGCACCACCCCAGTCAGATTTCCTTACAGAGAAAGTGCTATCATAGTAAATCTGAGGAATATTACTGGTAGAAAAGTTGTTCACAGATTAAAAAAATAAAACGCCGCAACGCTAAGTTTTATTTATCATAAGACGGTCAAAAGGTGAAATACACGAGTCCCTATATATTTTACATGTCTCGTCTTGTGGGTGAGCCAGAAAAAAAAAACTATAACCGTTTAAATTCGTTGTAATGTGATTGCGCATAATTTTTAAATACTACCCTACCAATCGCGTTTACAGCAGTAACCTGTATTATATCTTCCTAAACACCTTACCATAATACCCCGTTCAATTTTATTTGTCCTCCGAAAATACGGCAGTGCACCGCGTAAAGAACTGCATTTTATTACCGCAGGAAAAGTGATAGAGCTCTAAATCTCAATTTCCGAGTTGCTTTATTCCCAATGACGGCCTCAATGGGTATTCTTTGAAGCAACTGCTTCATGACCAGATTAGGTCGGTGGATAGATGGTTGCGCTTTTTCATTAGATTTGTCAACGAAAAGGCGAAATACAGGAAAGTCTAGTAACATTATTGGCTAAAAGCTCTCAGTTGTTTTGGACGTGGTTTGTACGAGGTTTTTCCGCAATTGTAAATTGAAATTGCTTCTTCATAAAAAAAAAAAAAAAACTTCGAGTCGCCACTGAGTATTTGCCGGCAGCGCTAATCGTCATAAAGTCCGGGTCGATCCGGGCATTCTACAAACCGAATCGATGAAATCCACAACGACTCGAGTGCGTCGCTAACCCGGATCATTTAAAAAAAAAACATTCTCCGGTAGAAAAGTTATATCTCGGTACATATGTTACCGTTCTATTTGAAAATTTTAACTAAAAACTATGTTTTTGGCCGATTTTATTTAATTAACCGCCGTAGCCTAATGTGTGTTGTCATTTGTAAACAATTTCGTTGAGTTGCATTGCCCCCGTTCGACCGCCATACGGTTATTTATAATGACTATACGGTACACAAAGTAGTCTGTATCGAACAACTTTAAAGGGCGTTTAGATGACGTCATCGTGCAAATGAGCTCTTCGTATACTATGTTTTAGAATGTCGTTCAATGATTGTCCGTTTGGAACGAACGCGCGTGGGAAACTGAAAAAAATATTTTGGTTTATTTCGTTATGTTTTTATTATTTTTTTTTTTTTTTTATATACAAATCTTTTCGTGTGTTCACGAAATATGCACGGTGACGTTTATAATATTATAGGTGATGTATAGGTACAGAGTTGAAATAATATGTTATAAATTATCATCGTGTTGTATTATGAATCAATATAATAATAATTGTTATTGTCTTTAGATTTCTTAAAACGTTTCATATTAGGAAATGTTTTTTATGTAAATACAGATTTAGATAACCGACCGGTTATTATTATATTTTTTTTTTTGTTGATGTTGTTTGCGGTTGTATTGTACAGGGTGATCCATTTACATCATGATCCGGCGGTTTTTTGTCGGGGGACTCGACAAAAAAGTGAATTTTTGATTTCGGTTTTTTTTTTTTCAAACATCCCTTGTTTTAAACACAGATTCGAATGTGCGCGCAATAGTTTTCCTGGAAATATCGGCACGCGTAACACTATAGAGTATATCGGATATATATGTAACAGTTTGAAACGCAGACGGAACGAGCATATAAAAGGCAAAAGGTTATTATTTTTGAAAAAAAAAAAAAAAAGTGAAAACCCCAACTCCGGTCGAAAAAATTCAAAGTGTACGTTTATTTCAGGCGAAAAGTCTAGGGGAGGGTGGGGGGTGAAAATTTAAAAATAAAAAACCATTTCAAACGATTCCGTGTGGGATAAAGATTGACGGGGGGGGGGAGGGGGGAACCAAATCGAAATCGAATTCACGCGAAACCCCCGGAGAAAATCGCCGGGTCGTGATAAGAAAAGGAAAAAAAAAAAAAAAAAATCACCCTGTATTATCGCAGGTAGCTTCACAATAATATAATGTTGTCGTGTATAAATTATAATACACGCGTACGCGTCGAACAGTCGCGTCTTCGGTATTTAAGTGGGTATCTGGTGCGCTTATACGTGTAATGTTAGCGGTAAACAAAACTATCGATATAGGTAATCCGTGACATTTAGATTTCGGCGGCCGTGCGGCGACGCAGGGATATGGATTTCAGTTTGTTTGCCGTGTACAGGTTATAATGTGTTTCTACCGTTTATGTAACGACATTGCATAACGCTCGCGTCGTATTAATAAGAACGCAGTTACCGGTGTAATAATAAATTATGTTGTTGTTGTTTTGTTTTCCGTCGCGTACAGATTTAAATAAAACGTTTATTTCGGCGGTGAACTTGAAATTTCGGTTTTATATTAAAAAAAAAAAAAAATAGTCTAGCGAAAAAAAAAAAAACCTGGGACGATTGGTAAAATGCCACGGTTTCGGCTACACCGATGTACCGGGACAGAGAGACTCGGACCACGCGGACATTAATCATTATACGCAGACGTAAGTCCCCGATTATTTAGGTGGTTTTGAATTAATTAGACTATACCCAAGGACCGGAAAACAAAAAATACCGAAGAACCGAGTTGACCGACACTTTTTTTATGCGGGATTTTCAAATTGTTTTTTTTTATTAGGAAAGCGATTCTGCAATCGGTCCGTTTCAAAACGTACAAGAACATGTCTTAATTTAACCGGAAAATAACGGTTTGTATGTCAAAAGTAACAAGTTCCTCTGGATCGTGCCGAATATCACACGATCCGCAACGTGAAAAAACACCGATTCCATTTCAACTGTAATCGAAACTCAGACGCACCGTACCTTACAGTCGAAACCCGCGCGTACCAAACTTGAACCCCGAAAAAATACAGAAATCTCAACTTTCGACACGGCGGTTTTTGATTTTTATATTTAAGATTTCGAGCGGAACGAGTATTGGTTTAACAATAATGTTTTTTTTCTTTTTCTGCGGACGACTTTTCTACCGACAATTTGACTCCGTTTTTTAAGTATAGAATTCTTTCTGTATTTTTTTTTTTTTTTATTAATTTTCCCAGCTGTTTTCATAAAAAACAGGAAAAACCAGGAAAAAACACGAATAAACGGGAAAATTTACGAAACGTATTATTTTAAAATCTTAAATATTACAGCCTTTCAAAACATCTATAACCGAACTCCACTCAGAATCGTTTTTCGTATACAAAGATTGATCGTTGCGTACAGATATACATTAAATCCCCTATATTATCCCCTCTATATTATCCTACCTTCCACTACAACTCATCTCCTATAACAGCGGCCCGCCAATCACGCGAAGTACGTCCGTATATTTTTTTAGCCTGAATCGCATTTCGGATTTCTCCTTTGTACAGGAAAGCGACGTTTCCCAGACGTTTTCGGAAAAATGCGATTTTCGGAACTCGTGAGTGTTCACAGTCCGCCCAATTTGTACAAGCCGCATAGAAGGTCGCGGTATAAGGAAGGCCAACGAAAGGAGAAGATCGGGCAAGGAATGGTGTGGAAAACTGTAGACCCGGGAAGAAGAAGTGGTTGGATTTGGCGATGCACAGAGGAGAACGGAAAGCAATATGTCGGTCAGTAAGATCTTAAAGGTCATATATAAAGAGGAAGAAGAAGAATCGAAAGGGTTCGAGATAACCGAGTGAGTGCATGTGCATTGTAAGTATATACGCGCGCGTACAAGACGTTATAATACTTGCGTCGGGATTTAGATTGATGTGCGTGCGCGCCTCGAGGCACCACGTCGCATTGTACTCGCGCACGAGGAACCGAATGGCGTCCGAGTAAAAATATAAATATTATTAATTTCCGCGCGTCTACGCAGCAGACGGCTTCACGGACGGTGCGACCCGAGTAAATATAACCGTTTGCTACTCGTCTATTATTATAGTATTACTACCGACTGCTACTACTATATTGCTGTACTTTTTTCTATATATATATATATATAATATATGCGACTCTACTATGACTGTATAGTAACTATTTTTTTTTTTTTTTTTTAGACTCCCGGTCACCGGCCGATTGTTCGGTCCGAGAGAGGATTTCGGCCGGCCGCGTCGCCGACGCCGAGAATAAAAATAGCCTTGTCGCGAGAAAAAACAAACGGCTAGACGCCTACTCGTCTATTTATTTTTTTTTTTTTTTTTTTTTTTTTTCGTACGCAACGACACTAAAGTCCTAGGGTGACGCCTTTTTCGTCGCGTTTAAATAGGCGATTTCCCGGAAACTGCGCGCTTAATGCTGTGCCCGTAATGTACACTGTGTATCGATCCCGTTTAAAATACCCGGGAAACGGGACGGACCGAATTTTCGTAGTAAAATTTAATTACAATTAAACGCTTAAAACAGACGTTATAACACGAGTGCGAAAACCGGCGATAAAAAAAAAAACGCTTATAATACACACAGACGAGGAAACGAATAGACACGAGTTTGTACGAATACGTATTGACGATATTCGAGAAACGTGTAACAAGGACGTGAATAATATAATAACATAATATTGTGATATTATTGATGATAATCGAGAAATGTGGTATAACGAGGCGGATCGGTTTACGCGGACGGGCGCTGTGCGTAATCAACAACGATATAAGAGATAAGAAGGACGTGTACAATAGAATAGTTTTTTTGACGGCAAAACGACGCTAACACTCGCGTCGAACAATACGCTGTAATAAGCGTCGATTTAACGGACAGTCTGTCGGAGGCGTGTGTTTTTTAATACGCGCGGGGCGGAACGGAGACAGTAAAATATGTTTTATGTCTTTTAATACCGCGGTCGCGTTCGTTTAAACACTGGACGCGTGGGATCGCGTTGGTCTTGAAATGTCGTCCGATAACAATTTCATGCCCGAACGCGAATCATCTTATTGACAATAATTGTATAATCGTCACAATCGCCTTTTATTAATTATAATCGTTCGATACGATAAACTATTATTATGTCTTTAAATGTGACTGTTGTCATTCGTTCATTGTAACTGTATTGATTTATTCTTCTCGCTGTATAACACAATAATGTTTCAAAAATATTTGTGGTGTTCATCGACAGCGGACGTAATGAAGAGCGCCCGTGGGCGTATAACGAAACCCGAACTAAAATTAAAATTCACAACAATAACTGTCTACAAATAAACAGTTGTTCTTGTGTGTTGATAACGAATACAACCAATACTTTAAAATATAGGGATCGAATATAGGGGTAGGGATCGAAATCGGTAGTAATGAGAAACGGCTAGATCAAGTTAATCGATTAATAAAAAAAAACTGAGAAAAATCATTTATATTTTAAAAAATTTAAACAAAGTTCTATAGAACAAATAGAATTGCGTCAAGTATCTTTTGTATTTGTAAAATCATTGATCTCTTACGGCGTAATTAGGCGTGGGAGATGGTTGCGTTTAACTATATGCATATCCCAAAAACAAATATGTCAAAATCAAATTTCATAAACTATACTGAATAAAGTGCGTCCGTAGTAATAAGTAAGTAATATCCGACGAACATCAAACAGACTGTCTATAGACAGGAGCATGCACATAAAATTATATATAAGACAGATCACGAAGACGGAAGAATCAAGGACGCGATGTGTGAAGATTTAAAAACGAAATCGAACGGCAGAAACGGGTGGAATTCTGGGTCACATTCGGGGGGGGGGTTGGTCAAAGAGGACGAACGCCGTGCACGCCACTTCTCAATAGGACGTCATAAGACACGATGGCCTTTTTTAGATTCTCAGTGGCGCATTGGTTTTACAATGATGTTTATTTTTTCATTTTTTTTATTATTTTTGTGGACAACTTTTCTACCAGCAATTTCGCTCCAATTTACATTGATAACACATTTTTTGGGAAGTGAATCTGACTGGGATGATACTTTACGAAGGTAATTTTTTGATTTTGCCCGATAAATAAGAAAACCCGGGAAAAATATAGGAAAACGGGAAAATAGACGCAATACAAAACAAAACAAATGTTATTAAAGAAAATATGTAATTATATTACCATAATGTAACATATACACTTGTGTTGACAAAGCAACACACTATTAACCGTTCTCCGCTCAGAATCGTTTTTTTTTTCTTTTTCGATTTTGCTCGTCACCGGAATACGCTCATTTGTTCCAAAAGTGTGTAAACGCGTCTCTGACGGAGTGAATCCGCAAATCAATCAGGGGATTGATAACGAGACAGACACAGAGAGAGAGAGAGATGGAGACCGTATATTTACCGAGGCGTTTGACCGAAATTTCGCAACCGGCTCGATATTTTTATGACTCACGATTAAACAATTACGAGTAATACCTATTGCAGAGTCCACAGCCGAAAAAGATTGGATACGCGAATTCGAACGAAATTACATATTAAAATATTTTCGTTTCGAACAAAATAATATTACATTATAATAAAGGTACCTACACGCGTCATGTCAATCGTCTCTGACCCGTCGGCTGTTCAACGCCGGCACAATAAGACACATACTTAATATTAGGGTTTACTGATTGCGCTGAACTCCTCTCCCTACTCCGATTTAGAATTAATTCCATCAATGCTAGAGACCCTAAACCCTTTTACCAAATATCCTCAAATAAGAACTATATTATGAATTCCCTTGCCAATCTCCTTATGACTGTAATCAATTTATATTTGACTATCGTTAGCGACCCTTGAAACTTGGTTTTGTTTAAATTTATGTTCCAAACCAATATCATAATTTGTTATATCTTTTTATCATTATTTTTTTTTAGTTTTACGCATACTCATAATTTCGCTTTGCACTCATCTGTACATTAACTCGTTGTAATAGGGCTAGTTGTCCGTTTATTTGAAAAATAAATAAATAAATAAATATGCGATAACGAAACAATACGTATATAATGGACGGGCGGTTTTAATCGGACGATTGGAAATGATTTTTATTCGATTTTTACTCGTGGCGGAGAGACTGTTTACAGCTTCTTTTCTTTTACGAGACGGCGGCGGCGATAATATTATCACCATTACAATACGCGTATCGGACCGCAATATAATAACAATATTAATTGTTAGGTTTCTCCGTTCGTTTTTTAAACTGAACGTAGGCATACGCGTATAATAGTAATAATAATAATATAGTAATAACCATTAACTTATTGTATATTATAACACGATACGATTTTTATCGTCGTTTATTATTATTGTTATTACTTTTTTTTTTTTTTTTTTAATACTATTTAATCGTAATTTTATCGTCGGAAATATTATGTGCTCGTTGCGAACTACAACGGGAACCGAATACAATAATAACGGAATCCACGCGATCGACGTGACAACGTAAAGACCGTGCATTATTATACTGTCCGCCCGGACTCTCACGATGGTCGCCGACAATAGGTCTTTGTTTTTCTTAGTTATTTAATATTCGGCCAACTCCGGAATTCAAATTCTCCGTTCAAATTTTTATTTAACCCCCCCCCCCCGTGTAAATATCCGTAATAATCGGTCAGCCCTGAGACGTGTATCGAGAGGGTTAAAATTAAAGAGAAAAAAAAAAGGCGCTTTTTCGATTTTCGCTGCAATGATGACCTAAAACATTTATGGTAAGCAAAAATTACGAAGAGTAATATTATATTCGTTACCTGTGCTTTTTCCGTTACACAACCAATTAAACAATAAAAGAATGAAAAGCTAAAAATATCGTTTTTAGTACTCGTTATGTTATCTTATGAGTTTTTTTTTTGTACGGGAGTGGGGGAAAAAAATTGTTTAATAGATTTTAATTAAATGTTTAGTAGTAACGAAAACATTTATTTAGGAATGGTCATTACTATTTTCTAAAAATGTTTGAACTTTCTCTCAATGTGAATACTCTTTTTTTACTTACAATAATCCGTTATGTTATAATATTTAATCAGAGCACACCAAATGACCGAGCACTTTTTTTTTCCACGAGCGAATGTCATGCGATAATTATAATAGATAATGCTTGATAAATAATTTTCATGTTTGAAAATAAAATAATTAAAAAATAAATCACCTATCTAGAAATTTTAACGACCGAAAATTGTCTAAGGATATATGATAAAATGGCTACTTTGATTTAAATAAGGCTAGTTAAAAAGGCTAAAAAAGGCAATTTTTAACTTTTAATTTCATAATATCCCCGCCTAAAATAAAGAAAACAACGTAATAATATTTTAACTGTAGTGCAAGACGTACTCATTTATTTTAAAAAATATTTAATAAGACAAAAGTTATTTCAAGTATCATATCTTCGTCAAGGTCCGAACAACATCATAAATACAATCGCGTTCGATCCGAACCGAAATTACCCGCACAAAAACACAAACCCAGTATAATTTCACACAAAATTAACTGCAAAACCATGTCCATAAAAACAGGTCGAGTCAGTCGGTAACCATAAATGGTTTTAAAGGTCCATAGGTTCTTGCCGTCAATACAAAGCAAAGAGACGTACGATTCGACTAGTGATAACTGTATTTTTGAACGATACAAAAAAATTTTTTGTCAACATTTTTACGTCAAATCGATTGAAATTAATGTTCTACGCAGAGAATATAAATAATAAATTACTATAACTTTGCAGTTTAATGATACGTGCATACAATATGCACTATATACCTAACTACGAATCGTAAACTTTACATTTAAAACGAAAACGAGAAAGTTTTTATGTATTCTTTTTTAATACGTATTGTTGTTACATAAGTAATGTCTAAAACGTGAACAATTAAAAATATCATTCGGTTGTGTATAGTTATTAAAAAGGCCGGGCGTACTTCGCACCACGTGTGGGCCGCTGTATATTAGGTGAGTAATTTGAAAGGTATATAATATTATAATAGCATTTACCCTGTAGTATAATTTAATATTTTACACTGAAATCAACGATCAATCATTTTAGTCAAAAAACGATTCCGAACAGTATTTAATAGTGATTTTTCCCCCGGAGCTTGGAAATGAACAGAAATCATCAAAAAAGAATTCGATGTATCAACATTCAGTTGTCGGGTTTTTCGAATTTTTTATAGAAAATTTGTCGGAATTTTAGCCATTTTTTTCATATAAAATA